CCAGTAAACTACCAGTGCTCCCTCACAAGTCACAGCTGCCCTCCTCCAGCCTGAGGTTCTTTTCTAATGTCCTGTGTATCTTTCTGTGAACTTCAATTTTGCCATGGGCAGACAATTTAGTAAAATCAGAGACACAGCAGGGATGTGAACTCATGCTGAAGATCTTAGAGCTCTGCGGCTCTTGGGCTCCACTGGCCACAGCAGGGAGAGGTGGCTGGCTACCCTGTGCACATGAAGATGCCACACTCCTGACAGGCCTCACTGGAACACTGTTTTTTTCCCCAATACAGCAGTTAAAAATCTCTACTTTAAACACAGTACTGCTCCTAACTAGTAAATATAGAGATAGGCTACTGGATGGAAACCTCAATTCCTGGCTCATCTGAGCTGAGAATCGCTCATCTCGAGTCATTCTTACAAATACAACACATATCCCTAATACTGTCTCCCTCTGCTTCCTGTGTAACCAGTATGGCATCAATCAGCCATACTCTTTCTGAACTGCCATTTTTCACCTGCAGAACAGTTCAAGAGCCAGACCAGAGAGGGAGTGGACAACTTCAGCTGATAACGAAAGAGCTACATGCAAAGTGCTGAGTGCTTTGCACACAATACCATCCTGAGCTACACACCTGAACTAACTTGAGGCTTCCAGTGCTGATGCTGCTGTCACACTTATCCCTGTCACCAGCAGACACATGCAAGATAAACACAGTTTCTGACACGGGGTTCTGCCTCCCATGCACACTTTTTCTTTTCTTTTGGTGGGAATGGGTTTTGAACCCAGGACCTCAAGCTTGCTAGGTAGGCATTGTACCACTTGGGCCACAACTCCAGCCCTTTTTGCTTTAGTTTATGTTTTAAGTAAGTTCTAATATTTTTGTCTGGGGCCAGTATTGGACTGCAATCCTACTCCTGCCTCCTTCAGAGCTGGGATGACATATGCATCACCATAACTCTTTTGATGGGTGAGAACGGCGGTCTCACTAACTTTTTGCCTGAGGGTGGATTTGCATCACGATCCTCCCCATCTCCACTTCCTGAGTAGCCGAAATTACAGGCTTCCTTTCTTAGGAAGTTTCTGGAAGATGAATTCCGGCAAAATGAGGCAAACAGGAAACACACAAGAGAAACAGCAGAAGCCATGGCCAGGGGAGAGAGAGCAGCAGGCTTGGAAAGGGGCTAGCACAGGGCAGAAGTGTAGGGATAGGCAGAAAGAGGGAGAACTCTAAGCAAAAGATCACCGTCAAATCCAGGGAAGACAAAAAGACATTTAAGAAAAGAATAATCACAGTGGTCTACCAGATTCAGTGAAATGGTTTAGTCATAATATGTGCCGCATAATTTTGTAATCCAATCCCTGATATGACTACATTGGCTGGAGTGAGGGAAGAAAGAATTAGCCACACCTTCTTTCTCTTCCATAGTGAGAACACAACAAAGCAGCCATCATATGACCTGCAGGTCCCATGCCAGAAGCAGGTTGTGGTTTCCTCTGGGGGTGAGGGCAGAGGTGGGAGGCACAGGGATTATTAATTTTCATTCTAACCCTTTTAGTGCTTTTGCATTTTATGCATCTTTGTGTTTCACTTTAGTAAAACAAAATTTTAAAAGCAAATATTTACATAGAATATTTCCCCTACCATTTGATAACTGTACAGAGAGATCAAGAGAACCAAACAGAATGCTCAGAAACAGACCTACATACACAATCATTTCAAGTCAATGGAGAACATGGTCTAAAAAACTGTAATAGGACTGTAACCTGACATTTGGAAAAAAAGAGAAGTCCTTCTATAAAATAGGCGAATTTTAATTTACTAAGATTTGAGCATAAAAGTCAAGACCTCAAAATATCTATGGGAAACATGGTTACTGAAGGCCCCCAGGCTAGCAAACACAGAACAGTCATAAACAAAAAATGATTGCTGCTACATAGTAACTCAATCTCTGCTGCCTGGCAGAAGATTAAAAAGCTGAAAAGAAAGATGACAGAGTACAGGAAAAATGTTGCACATGCCCAAGGTGATAATTCTGTCACGTGAGAAAGCACCGACCAACCAGGCATGAGGAGAGTGAAGACCCTGTGCAGCTCCAAGCACAGGAAGAGGTTCCGTGTGTCCAGACAGCATGCACATCGAGCCAAGGTTCACCATCTGACCATCACATGCCAGCGACACCTGTGGCGAGGCTGTGAACTCGGCAAGTGAGTCCTGATGGCCAGGACCAGTCCCACACAGTGGGACCTCACCTGTGCAACACCTGTGCCCATGAGAGGGTGAGCACAGAAGTGCCCATGATGTGGTCTCTAAAGGAAAGGACCACATATCCATGGCAGGGACCATGAGTGCAGGCAATGCAAGAACGTGATGAATAACACCTGCCTGTAGGCTCCCAAAGATAACCACTACATTCCTTCAGAGACCAAGGGTATACCTTCATATGCACAGGTGCTGCCACTCACTGTTGGCACAGGCATGTCTGAAAGGGACAGGGAGACCTGCCCAAGTGACACTGAAACCCCAACTCTGGAAGAATCCAGGTTTTCATGAATGCAATGGTCTCGAGGACACCCAGGAAGAGTCAGTAGATTTCTCTCCCACACTTTGACCCATGTCTATAACAATATGCAGATCTTGATGACACAATGTATTGCTGAAGACACCAGATGGTGTCTGGCACCCCAGGGACAGCTTGCAGGCCAGGGGCCTGGACCACCTGTCCTCATCCAGACCCTCTCCCTCACCCATCCACCTTCCCTCACCTGGGCTCGCTCTCACTCAGGTCCATCCTAACCTAGGCCCTTGGTTACCTTTCCTCTCCTGGACCCTCAACTACCTCCCTCACCAGGGCCCCTCTCACCTGGGCCCACGGATGCCTGCAGTGCTCCTCTCACAGGATGAAGATGACCCCAGAGCCTGCTCCCTTTGAGTCCTCAAGGCCTTAGGCTTTCTGGGCTGAGGTGCCCCGTCTTGCTCATCATCCTGGTCTTCTGGCTTCTTTTTCTCACTGTCACTGTCATCGCTGCCTTCTCCAAGGATGTCATCAACCTAACAAAGGGTATAGAGTCAGGGGCCTTTCTGAGGAGCAGTGTGACCCGCCCTCCCCCAGAAAGGCAGTAGCTGTGTGGTCCCCACATAAGGGGGCTCTCAGCGCCACTCCAAAGGGCTTAGATGTTTACTTGTGCTTTCTACTTGAACCATGGTATCTAAAACTAAGCCAGAGGGATAATGTGAACGTGTGGACACCCTGGGGAAGGGATGATGGCTTCCTGCTCATGGGCTTGAGTTCTGGTGTTGTGCTGATGGATTTTATGTGGGAAATCAGGCATTCACTTGAAATTCTCTGGGTCAGTGAGACCCAGGGCCTGAGCGTGTGGCTCCTCACAAGGCAGTACAGTCCTCAGTTCTGGAGTTGGGGGATACAGCCGTGTTGCAGGGCGGCTGCTGTGTTTGCTTGCTTCCTTTCCAATCTGCCCCAGTTTAGGGACACACCACAAGAGCGCTGCTTCAACAGTGTGGTATGTGGCGGGGCGGGAGGGGGCAGGTCCGCCGGGCACTTCAGATGATATGGACTGAGGACAGGCAAAGGGAAGTGAGGCAGCAGCAGGAGATGCTAGCACTCAGGAATTTCACTCAGCCCAGCACTACTAGAGCACTGCCAGGGCCTATGCAAATGTGTAGGTGGTGGACAGCCCCATATGAAGGGTGAGGGACGAACCAGGATCTGGACTCAGCATTCTGGTCCCAGAACCCAAGCACTCAGTTTTTGTCCTGTGCTGCACGGAGCCAGGATGAAAGGAGATGCAGAAAGGAAAATGTGCATAGCAGAGAGGACCGAGTTCAGCTGCCCACAGTGGACAGAAGCTTCTTTCATTTCAGCTTTGATCGCATAGTGAGAGGGACTTGCCCATCAGGGAACTGGCCACCATGTGCCAACAGTGCCCACCAAAGGTCATGACAGGCAGCGCTCCTTCAGGGTTCACCAACCCAAGAGTACAGCTCTCTTCCAAGCTCTGCTAGGCCGAGAGGCAACCTGTGTGACACAACAGTCAGGAGGGTCCCTGTGACAGGAGGAATAGTTATAGCCACCCAAGGACCTTGAGGGACCCTCCAGCATGGCCAGCTACTCCTGAATCCCCATCAAAATGGGTCTCAGATGTCCGTGCTGGCAATCATGTGTGGAGCTGACACAAGCGTGCACTGATTCTGCAGGCTGGCTGAAATCTGACCTCTCCACTGTGCTTAAATCTGCTTTCCCTCCTATGACTCAGTTTATGATTGAATGACACACATCTTTCAAAGGATTTCTTTTACAAAAAAGGGTAACTACTTTTTGAAAGTTACCTACAATGAGCTATTTAAAAGATGCTGAGATTTTTTTTTTAAATCTTAAAAACTTCAAAGCACGTATGTAAAGAGAAAAAGCAAAATTCAATATACACAGAGTAAGTCCTGAAATCTCTACCAAAAAAGGACAAACACAGGTTAACATTGAATGCTACTGTATCTTGCCAACACACAGAAAACAGATGTTTCCATCAACCAGTTTCTAGGAGAAACAGATTCTGAGTTAAATCTCATCAGAGCTGGCCTGAGCGAGTGAGGTAAGACAGCTGGGGGGTCCGGGGAAAGAACTGGGAAGGGAAACCAGTGGGAAGAGAACAAGGCAGGAAGAGACAACTTGAATGTGAGAAACAGAACAAATAAAAGTGGAGAGGTGAGAAGAGCAAACCAGGAGCTCACCCAGCAGTCCAGGCAAGAGGCTGGGTTCTACACTTCCCTTCCCCCTCTTCCGCCTGTGCGGGAGGATCTGGGGGACTCAGGGCTGTTTCTTCCTGGATGCGCGGGCCAAGACCAGCGAAGAAGCTTGTAAGTTATCTGCTCTACACTAGCTTTGG